GAGTGAGGCCAACCAGGAAGACAACCATAGACGAATGTAGAAGGCCGACGACTACTCCCTCGAGATGATCGAGACCGTAGCGGCGAATGGCCACGAGTCCCCTGAGTCGCCTAAGCGCGTGTTCCTCGGAAGGGGTGGAAGTTGGGGGGCCTTTCCTAACGGGATCCCTAAGCCAGCTTTGGGCTAAGGTTGCCAGAACAGCACAGAACAATGAGAGAACCAGGGCGAAGGACCACAGCATGTTGACGGCTACATCGATCTCAGTCGGATGAAACGACTCCATCTCGACTCCCGGTGCTATCGGTGTTGTATTCGAGACCAACAGTTGTATCAAAAGCGCGTTCGTGCGAACAAGCGCGAGGTTTCTGGCTTGAGCGCTCAGATCAGGAAGCAGAAGGCTACGTCCCTTTGAGACGAACATGGAGACTGACGAGGCGAAGAGGCCAGCCTGATGGTCGTTGTCAGCGACAGGAGAGCGATGCGTTGGCTGCGACCCACAACAATCATGAGGCTCGTCATGGCCGAGTTATTCCGGTGAGCAAGGTCCCCTCTGCGATTGTCCACGGCGTCTAGACAAAGCATCCAAAACCCGACCCCCCCCTCTTCCGATCGGGTCGACGAAGGAGGGGGCTCTCCGGACTCTCCCGGCTGCGACCGGCCCATAACAGGCTGGATGAGCGAGCTGCACCAGAGAATGCAGATGAGACGTCGACGCGGATGGTGGAAGAAGACCAAGGAGTGGATCAAGGGCTCATGCGCTTCTGCGTTCAATCTAAGACGCACGTACGCGATCCAAGCTCAGCCGCATATGTATAGTGATGCATGCCCATTGGGAGCCCCCTGACCGCGGGAAGCATCTGATCCGGCGCTTCTACCCGGCGTTGTCTCGGCTGGGTGAAGACCGAAACGCAAGGCTGCATGAGAAGGACATTACGCATTAGAGGTCCTGGCCGTTGCCTGTACCTTTGCCACAACCCAGTGCTGTACTGACAGGATCGGATGCATTTTTGGGCGAATCCGCTGACAGAATCCGCCGAGAATAGGCTCATGTGAAAAGACTCGACAGACCCCCACATCATTCCGTCTTCCATCGTCTTGGGTGATGGCTCAGAAACGTGCACCTCTCGCCTCCCAGATTGGACCAACTCTCGAATCGTGCGCGTTGGGTTGAGGCTGCGAGCGAAGGCGTCCCACTGCCGTGGCAAGCGTCCTCGGAAGTCCAGTTCCGCGTGCGCCAGCGGTTGTTCTCCCTGTCTTCTCCCGAGCATCCTATCCGCCAAGAACGTTACAGGCCCCTCAAGTGACTGGTACTGTGTCCGCTATCCATCGTGCACGCATCGCCCGTCGCCTATAGCGTGGGACGTAGACGTACATCGCTGTACAAGAAGCTCACGGGTCTCGTTGGACGATTTCGCAACAACGTATAGGTGCTGAGCGCTGAACATGAGGGAACGAGAAGGCCAGCT